GGAAATAAATTAGGTTTTACTTTATTTTTATTTTTTAAAAAAGAAAAGGGATTAAAAAGAATTTTAAAAGGGAAAAGAAATGAATCAAATTTTTGGGCCATTTTATTTTAATTCTCTCAAGCCCAAATAATTTCACCCATAAACCTGTCCAAAACTAGCCATAACCATGCCCCAACCCGGTCCAATATTTCAGTCTCTTAAACAATTCAAACGACATAGTATCAGGCCAATACTACGTCGTTTTGAGTTTCTTAAAGACAAATCAATCTAAGCCTTTCATTCCTCTTCATCGAACAGTCAGCAAAGCCTCACCCTAACCACATAAGATTGTCTAAAATCCTTAGAACATTAACATAGTATCATCTTCTTCATCACACCTTCCTCTCACCACCGTTCGTCGCCCACCGAAAATCGCCAACGGCGGAGTTTGACCCCCAATCCACACCAGATTTACACTGTAGCACCCTCTTCCTCCCCTCATAATGAATCAGTCATTTGTTGCCTTCGAATCATCGCGGAACTCGTCGAATCTTCGATCGAAGTTTTGACCTTCAAACCTTAACCCACCTAAACTCATACCAGTTAAAACCCAGACCGTTCCAAAGCTTATCCACACGCCTATTTCCTGAAAACCCCAACAGGACCTCCCCAGTTCCAAATCTGAGAAAATTGAAGCATAATCTCTATCTTCTTCTGTTCCGTTCAAGGCCTGGCTTCGTTTTGAATTATAGTCTATGTGGGTTGATTGTTCTTAACAAGAACAATAAATTGACATTGATTTTAATTCATTCCGGGGATGTCAGAGTTATACGAGTTCATCAAGTTCTGAGCCAATTGTTCACTCTCATTGATACGCCTCATGTCGTCAAGGCATTCCACCATGTTTGGTATTTTTTCCTCCTTTCTCCCACTAATTTTATACACTGTAGTTCCTTTCTGTTTTCATTTGGCTTAGTTTTATTTGTTTCTTTTGTTTTTCTTTGTTTGTGACTGATTATCTTTAGTTAGTCAAGTTCGATTTTAGTTTGATTAGCTAAAGTTAATTTAAGACTAAAATCAGAATTGTGTGAGTTTGCCCTCCAGTTTTAGATTTGTTCTTTTTCTATGGTTTCGTTTAATCATTTCTGAGTATTCAAGTCTCTCATAGTAACTATGGTCACCACTGACCTAATTAAGAGACTGGTTTATTTGGACTGTGGTCTAGTTTAACCCAAGTTAATAATTGAAGGGTAAATAACAAGGGGTTTTAAGGATGATCTGGGAATTATAAGTAGAAAATCTCTCTATAACTGAAATAGAAAGCTTCCCAGAAACTGTCATTAGGACTGAACTGAATTTCTGATCTTTACACTAGGGGTATCTAAGCTAAAACCAAAATTTCAAAAGGTTTAAAGTGCAAAATTATTTTCAGCATTGCTGCCCTAATACCTTGCCTATAAAGGCGTCCTTACTTCACTAGCAAAGAAAAGAAAAAAAAAAGAAAAAAAAGGGAAAAAGACTGAAAAGCTGTAACAGCTGAGTTTCTTTGAAAATTCTGAATTCCATTACTGAAAACTACTAAAATTTTGTTTTGGTTTTGGGTTTCTGAGTCTTCTGTTAACTAGAACCTTTGAAGAATTTCATGGTAATATTGCTGGGGTAAGAAATGGGTTGAAACTGTTTTGAAATTGGATTTTGGGTCTGATGTGTATCACTGTAGGTTTGGGCTGGGTTTTGTTGGTTATTTTCTGAATCTGGACTCTGTCCTGCTTGTTATTGGCTACTGATTCTTCACTTTTTTGGTTTCTATCTTATCTCCAAGTATTTCCTTCAAACCCTGAGAGGAAGTGAAGTTTGTTATGGCTGTTATGTTGGAGTCATGTAATTCAAGTTGAAGAAACTAATTGTTGTCCCTTCTCTGTTGCATTACCAGTTTTAAAGTCTATTATATTTTGTTTTCATGTTTCCCCTAGGCTCATATAAGTTATTTAGTTTCTTGTCATTATCTTTTTAGATTCTTTTATGGGTTGTATAAATGTTCCATTTCACTTGCTTAGTTTAAATGCTTGAAGGCTTCTATTCACATGTATAAGTGGTAGAGAGCTAATGCAAGGAAATTTTCAGTAGTATCAAGTATGTTTCAGGTCTGTTTTGGCCTGTTGAAGCTAGTGTTGTTGTGTGAATGTGCTTAAATTTGTTTTAAGATTGATGTCCCTAAAGTTTGAAATCAGGAACTTTCATGTTGAGGTTTATCTAGTGTAGTATCTTATTTCATGAATTATTGATTTAAGGACTTCCAATTCATATAGCTTATAGTCACTATAAATGAGGAAAATGGTTTGATTGCTTACTGAGAGGGGTTAGACTTGTTTGGGAATGAGGTTAATGGTACATGGCAGCCTTAGTGTATGCTAATTATAGAATAAAATTTATGTTGATACGTGCTTATTCTTCTCTTTTTGAAACCACGTAGTACTGTATGTTTAAAAATGAGGAATTGAATGGGATTTTAAAATCACCAGGGGGCTTGAATGAGTATTGTAGGATTATATTTTCATCATACCGATAATTTGACACTAAAATATGTTCTGTATCTTTTTTAAGCTAATCAGTAGTTATTTTAATTCTCCATGAAGCAATACAATATGTGATCCGTTTTATATGCTTGAGTCCTGCACTGGGCTATGGCGTATGGCCCAATTGTTCAGAAACGTTGACTCCCTGGTGTGCATCGGCACTTTTGGGCTTCAAGTGAGCCCAATTTTCCTCGTTGCTTTATGCGTAAATGTCCGAGCCTTCAATAGAAGGATTGGGCCTGACATTCCAGCCCATTAATCGTTGAATTTTACCCTTTTTTTATAATAATTCTGGATCCCCTCGCCCTTTTATTAATTAGCTCCCCTAGTTTAGTCTGAGGCATGCCATATTAGCCAAATGTACAATTTATGGCCATCAATAGCTTAGTTTTGAATTCCCTTTAAAATTGGAATCGAGGTGGGCCACTCCAAATAAAACCTCAAAATGCATGGCCCTCGCTTAATTAATATTTTAATTTTTTTAGAATTCGAGGCGCGCCATTTAGCGAATTTTCCATGGCCCTCGCAAAGTTAAAAACGCGTAGTTGCTTTAGGCGCGTTATTTTAGTAATTAGCTTCCCTAAACTCTGGTGTGCATTTCATGTGACCCAAATCTAAATCCTAACAATGTTAAATAAAATATGTTGCAGACCGCGGGTGCATTTCATGTGGTGTGATCCAAAGGCATGTTTTGTATAACGTTGGAATCTTCTTAAAAATGAATAAAAGTGATTTTAAAATGCACCCAGGTTTGAAAGTGTTTTAAAATCAGATAATTAAGCCTATAATAACAGTGAATGACCGTGTTAGAACCACGGAACTCGGGAATGCCTAACACCTTCTCCCGGGTTAACAGAATTCCTTACCCGGATTTCTGTGTTCGCGGACTGTAAAATAGAGTTAATCTTTCCTCGATTCGGGATTTGAACTGATGACTTAGGACACCATAAATTATCCCAAGTGGTGAATCTGATTGAATAATATAAAAATAATTTCGTTTCGATTATCACTTTAATTGGAAAAAAAACTCCCTTATACCCTTCCCATGGTGTAGGAAAAAGGTGGTGTAACAGGACTCACTTGTTACATGATAAAAATAATGCATTTACTATGCTGAAGGCTTTCATTTCCATGGTAAAAACACAACCTTTCTTTAAAAATGTTAGAAGTGATAATGCCTTGGAAATTGGACTTTCCAATTCTGCCTTACAATACTTCTCAGATAATGAAATTATTCATCAGATTACCTGTTCTCACACACTTCAACAAAATGGAATTGTTGAAATAAAGCACGAGCACTTACTTGAAATAGCTAGAGCCTTGATGTACTAGTCTAAGTTACCAACAAAATATTGGGAAGATTGTATTTTAACAACCACTTATTTGATAAACCGATTTACATCCACCATCTTACATAACAAATCTCCATTTGAAGTGCTTTATGGCAAACAACAACGATGACAACCTAGTAAAATCCCACTAGTGGGGTCTGGGGAGGATAGTATGTATGCAGACCTTACCCCTACCCCGAGAAAATAGAGAGGCTATTTCCAAAATACCATTGGCTCAAGAAGATAAAGAAGTGCTTTATGGAAAGTTGCCCTCTTATTCACATCTTAAGCCCTTTGAGTGTCTTTGTTATGCAACTATGCCTAAATGTAAGAGAAGTAACTTTGATCCAAGAGATGTACCTTGTGTTTTTATTGGTTATCCATTTGGTAAGAAAGGCTACTAGTTGTATAACTTATCCACCAAGTGTATCCTAGTTTCTGGGGATGTCCTATTTCATGAATCCGTCTTTCCTTTTATGTTATCCTCTTCTTCCTCTTCCAGCTGCCTTCTTTATCCTACTTTCGTACTTATTTCACCCGTTCTTGTTGATCCTATCTTATATAATGATCATCCTCATTCCCCTCTTGTTCATCCACCTTCTCTTGATAATCCACCTTCTGCTGATGCTTCTTTACCTTCTATACCTTCTGCCTTTTATCTTAATACTATCATTCCTTCTGGTCTTCCCTCTACATCTACTCCGTCAAACTCTTCTTCTCTCCCTGCAACTAGAAAGAGCAACAGAAATCACACCTTTCCCTCTCATCTTAGTGATTTTGTTGTGCAACTTCCTCCATCCATTTCAAGCTCCACTATTTTATCCTTCTCTGCTGCACACATAGCTGAAGCGAGCCTCATTCATATTCTCAGGCTGCTACTAGTTTAGTCTGGCAGGAAGCGATGAGAAAAGAATTTGAGGCCTTAGAAGCTAATAACACTTGGTCCATAGTTGAATTACCTAAGGGTAAGAAGCCTATTAGGTATAAATCGGTGTATTAAATTAAGTACAAGACTGACAGAAGTGTAAAAATATATACGGCAAGGTTAGTAGTGAGAAATGATACACAAATTGAAGGAACTGACTTTAATGAAATATTTTCCCCGGTTATCAAAATGTGTACCATTAGGTGTTTAGTTGCTTTTGCCATTAAGAAAGGGTGGCCCTTGTATCAGCTGGATGTGAATAATGTCTTTCTTGATGGGGACTTAGATGAAGAGGTGTATATGAAGCTTCCGCAAGACCTCACAATTGTTACCTTTTCTCAATTTGCTTCGCATTTGGTTCGTAAGTTGCGAAAATCCCATAATGGTTTAAGACAAGCCTCTAGACAATGGTATGCTAAGTTGTCACAGGCACTTTGCACTAGAGGTTATACACATTCCTTAAATGATTACTCCATTTTTATTAAAAGGTTAGATTCATCTATTGTGTTTTTTGCTGTCTATGTGGACGACATTATTCTCACTGGGGAAGACCATCAAGAGATCAATGACCTCAGAATATTTTCAAATGGTCAGTTTAAAATTAAAGACTTAGGATTACTCAACTACTTTATGAGAATTGAGTTGTTGTCTGTTGATTCTGGGGTGCTTTTTCATCAGAAGAAATTTATTTCTGAGCTAGTTGCTAAATATGAATGTTCTGATGCTTCTGTTGTCTCTTCTCCACTTGAGCTATGTGTTAAACTCAAATATGATGTTGGGATCTTGCTGCCCAATCCTGAATCCTATAGAAGTTTGGTTGAAAATTTGAATTTCTCACTTATACTAGGCCAGATTTATATTTTGATGTACAACATTTTAGTCAATTTTTTATCACCCTGTGTGCCTCATATGATTGTTGCATTACATGTTTTAAGATATTTGAAAGGTACACATGATGTTAGGGTTTATTTCAATGATTCTTCTAACTTTTCTGTACAAGCTTTTTATGACAGTGATTGGGCTTCTTGCCTGACTAGCGCGGATCAGTTTCTGGTTTTTGTGTGTCTTTAGTGGGTAGTTTGATTAGCTGGAAATCTAAGAAACAAGTTGTCGTCTCTTTTTCTTCTCTTGAGACAAATATCGGGCCATGAGTAAAGTGGTGGCTGAGCTTGCATGGTTAGTTCCTTTATTGATAGATTTGGGTCTTCAATTGTCCACCTCTATCCTTGTTTTCTGTGATAGCTTGGTTGTCCTCTACATTGCTAAAAATCCTATTTTTCATGAGCGCACGAAACATATTGAGATTGATTGTCACTTCATTCGCATAAAGTTGGCAGATGGTCGTATTTCCTTACATCATGTTCCTACATCTTCTCAATTTACTGATATTTTTACTAAGTGTTTGACAGGCGGACAACACAGGTTGTTGCTTAGAAAGTTGAGTGTGTTGCCACCATCCAACTTGGGGGGAGGGGGGGAGGAGTGTTGGAGTTACCCTATTTGGGTTTGATGATAGTTAGTTAGGTGTTTGGCCCATTTGGCCCAGTTATATTTATTAACAGATCCGGCCCACTTTTCTCTTTTCTCTATTGATTGTATTTTTTTCATTCTAGCCCAATATAATTGTCAGGTATTTTGTAATAGTTTTTACAGAAAATCAATAAGAAAACTCTCTTGAAGCTACCTCTCTAAACATGAACCGTAAATTAAATCTTCTCCATTTCCGTTCGATCTACAAACCTTAAGAGGGAATTAAAGGTGTCTAACGGTATTCAAGATCTGATATATGTATAAAAAATAATAGTATTTAATTTATATATACGATATAACTTTCAGGTGAAAGGTATTCAAGCAACTATCTTTGGCGGACGATAACTCTGCATATGTATATACTCATAACATTGAAGTCATATCTGATCTATATAATATAATTTTTAGGCGAGAGGTGTTATTGTAACGCAAACTGTAAGTTTGTAACTAGGCCTCTGTGTATACTCATAACATTGGAATCACATATGGTCCATTCGGGTTTTCCTAATATTATAAGGGCTTAGTGCTTTTCTGATCCAGCAATATTTTGGGATGCGTGTACATTCCACTGCCACGTAAAGTACTAACTTTTTTTTCTAGTCTTAGTTAAAAGCCAGCTTGCTAAAAAAAGGTTGACTTCCGTCCACACTATAGTAATAGGTTTCCAATATTATAGAAACAACAAGTATTATAGCTCTCTTCCACTTAATTATAAAAGAATTAATCACTCATTTTGTAATGTGAAACATGTCAAATATGTTACATAAAATAAATGGAATGAAATCCAATTAAGCTAATCATCACGCATATTTATAACGTACTACAGCGCTCTTGCACTTAATATTTTTGAAGTGTCAGTCGTTTGTAATATGAAACACAATATATCTATAACATACTATAGGCACCTGCGTTTGTACTATATAGATGCCCCAAAATCGTGTTATATCAAACTGTAGAAACACGGTGCGTATGTATATAATATAATCATGAGGACAGCATTCACATTGGATATATTAATATGATTTGGCATTATTGTAATTATTGAGTATTGAGATTTTGATGATTAACAAAGTTTGTTCAAATGAAACGTTCTAAGAACTAGGTCTTCAACGTAGCTGCTTAATTGCACTTAGAACCAGCTCCTCAAGGGTCTTTTCAAGACGGTAACTTTATCTCAAAGTTACTTAGGCCCGAGTTTGTTGGAAAAAAATTGCTAAACATGATAAGGGTTGTTGCCCAAGAAGATACGCATGCATAAGTGAGAGACAAGAGTCACAAGACTTGTGGAGTCCTTGGAGCAGTAAGAGTCCTATCAAACGAGAAGTTGACTATGCATAGGACTCCTAAAAGATCTCAGTGTCCAGGGAATTTAAATATTATCTTTTTGGACTGCTGAGATCATTTTTTTACACATTGACTGAAGAACCATATTTTCTACACTCAAGTCATACTAGTGTTGTGTTCTTCATGAGTCAGTCTAGTAAATGTGTTTTAAGAAATCGAGTTGTAATCAAAGTGTCATATTCAATCAGTGAGTTGGAGTGAGTGTTTGGTTTTGCAAGTTAGAGTAACTTGTAAATCAAATAGCTGGAGTAGGAAAACTAGAGAGTATTGAGTTACAGCTTTGTAGTCGATACATTTGGCTCATTGTTCTAGTAAAATTGAAGTTAAAAATCCTATGTAGTAGATCGTGGTTTGCACCTTTTGAGTCACGTGATTTTCCACGTAAAAATTTATGTGTTCTAGTGAAATCATGAATGTCACCAAAATTGGGTAGCAGAAGAAAATGCATCTCTATGCATGTATCTAAAGTATGCATGCTAAATATAATGTATCTTAGTGATGGACTCATGTACTCACACTCTTAGAGTACTCAATCTCTCTGTCTCGTATTCTTACTCACCATGTTCAACACTCAATCACACAGTACTGTACAGGGCAGATCCAGCCCAAACATGATAGGTCCAAAGCAGATCCAGCCCAATGCAAATGAACCAGGGTAGATCCAGCCCCAAATGCAAATAGACCAGGGCAGATCCAGCCCAAATGTAAATAATTGCTAGCAATTGCACCCACTGTAGATGTGCAGACATCGGAGGGGGTGGTCCAGCCAAGGCTATAATAAGCCAAATCCTGCCATGAATCAATAAAGCTTGTTGCAACGTGCAACCCGATCCCATAAATATTACTCACAATAGGCCCCCGGCCTCACTCAGTCATCAATCTCTCTAGTCTCTTGGGCTCACAACACTCATGCTAAGCAACCCAAAATCAATGATATGAGATGTGACAATATACAATAACAGAGACTGAGATATAATATATATAATGATGAATGTAACTGAGTACATAACTGCAATTAAGCAAATAACTCAATAGCTAAGAACGACCACTGTTGGTCCAAATAGTACCAGCATTTAGCCTAAACATGACTTCTAGCATAAATCACAACTCAAGTGCTCTAACACATAGAGTACGGTAAAAAATATTTCAGATAAGATAGCTACACAATTCCATGGAATCGACAAAATCACAACATCAACAATGCATGCCCATACGCCTGTCACCTAACATGAATGTCACCTCAATATCAATCACATAACATGTAATTCGGGGTTTCATACCATCAACACCAAATTTAGAAGTGTTACTTACCACGAACAAACCAAGTCTGATATTGAGCAAGCCAAACGATGCTCCAAAAATACCATCCCGCGTACCGAACTCTGAACGGCTCGAAACTAGACAAAAGCAACTCAAGTTCATCAAATAATGCCAAAGGAAACAAACTCAATCTAATAAGGTCTAATTTTCAATCACAAGCCCAAAAATCATCCTAAAAATCCAACCTAGGTCTGCACCTCGGAACTCGACAAAACTCATAAAATCCGACAACACATTTTATTACGAGTCCAACCATTCTAATATCATTCAAATCCGACTCCAAATCGGTATTCAAAACTCAAGAATTCGCTCTATGAAACTTTGAACAACCCCCCCC